CTCCCAAACCTCTCAGCCTCCCATTGTGCCCCTATCTCCCGCGGCATTCTGGGTAAAGTAGTCTAACAATGTCAGGCGAGATAAGCTCAATGCAAACCTGCTGATAAGGAGTCAAAAGACTGCACTTAACGTCTGTGTGTTTTCAAGGTGTCAGTTGATTGCGGAGCCAATGAGGAGGCCCTGCGCTATGTGCGTGCGTGTGCGGTCACGTCGGCTGGCTGCGGCGTTCCGTATCGCTGTACTAACAAGCTAAACGGCGAAAACACGAGAGGACAAAAAAAAAAGGAAAGTCAACACACGCGCGGCATTGGCCAAAGGCGTGTGAATGCTGCGAGTGATTTTAAACGGTCGCTAAGGATCATTAGCAATCTTTTGGGGAGGAGGAGGAAAAAAAAATGGTCGAGTCACTACAGCGGGCACACGGCAAGCAGACTGCAATTTGAGGTCAAAGGTCAATCGGCCATCCGGACAATGCAGCAATAAGGTGTGTCGCAAAGGCGTTCGTGTCACCCAAAAAAAAAAAAGTGTGATGTGCCAAATAAAATGCGAGTAAATTGGCTCACCTTGTCCCAGAAAGTCCCTACCTTGCTGGGGATGACCTCGACGCTCCTCCAAGTGCCCCTGCTTGAACACACACACACAAACGCATACCCAAAAAGCAACATCGAACAAACATACTGCAGTGCAGGAATCCTTCTCATTGACATGGAGTGTGCAAACAAATGTCTTTGGTGCAAAAGGTGATGGTCAGGCAAAAAAGTATAGTTAAAAAACTTTAAAAATTTGAATGATGCGGTGTTTGGTACCTCAAGCAAGATGCCTTTTTTTTTTCAGTTTCCCAAAAAGTTTTGAGAGATGCGAAGATTCTGCCTGACAGCAACAAAAGGTAAAAAAATGTTGCGCCGTGACAACGGTGCGCTCTAAAAGCGGCTATGGTCCACATGCCGGCTGTCAAGTCTGAAAAAAAGAAGTATCGTGAAAAATTGTCTCCCTTCCCGTGTCACGCGCACACTCGTAGCGGATAACGTGGGGGCTCTAAAGCGGCGCGGCGAGGAGACTATTTGAAGGCAAGAAGCGTTCATTCGCCGCAATTGGGTAACCGCTAATGCGAATTAAGTGCACTCAAGGTCTTTTCGGGGCCACTCACGCCGGAACTGAAGCGCGTCACGAGGTGGTGTTCTAGCCACGCCCCCAACATTGGAAAATGGTGAATTTGTGAGAAAAAAAAAAACATTACTACATCGTTCCGTCAGCAATTCTAAGCGGAATGAATTCACTTCACAGGGTCATGAGCAGGGAAGAAGCAGCAAAATAAAACATTCTGGATGCTTTTGTTCCTCACACTTTTCGTAACAATTTTTTTTTAATGAAACACAAAAAATAAAAGGCAATAAAATTAAGATAAATATTCTCTTTTTGTACATCTGGAAATACGTAAGAAATACCTCCGTAAGAATGAGAAGAAATCATATTTTTTCCATCGTAACCATCCAAAGCGGGTTCCAGTGGGGAGAAGGAAGAAACAAAAAAAAAATGTCGCGTCCGTCCAAATGGGATGATCAGAAGTAAATCCAGTGTTTATAATTTTCTTTTTTTTTTAAACAAAGTTTTCACATCTCAAAAAGTCAGTCAAAGGCCTACAAACAAAAAGGCATTTTGTGTTCCCCCCCGCCCCCCCTCCCTCCTTCCTGTACATCCTATACAAGAGTCATCACGGGCTTGCATCAACGTAAGACCACGGTGAACGAAAAAAAAACAGCGCGCCCACACGCAAACATTTTTGGCAAAGCAGGAATTTAAAAAAAAAAAAAAGTGACAAGAAGCATCGTTTTTTTTTTTTTGTCTCTCTCTCTCAACGTTGTCCCATTGATTGGCGCTGATTGTCCTTCACAGTCATGTGATGCCATTCTGGTTGTCATAGAGACCTCAAGTGCATCAGCTGGGCAGTGCGCAGACAATGTCGCGGCGACGTCTCTCCGAGGCTGTCATAGCAACACTGAGACGAGAGGGAACTCTACTTCAAATACCTCGGGGGGTGATTGCAGGGCTCCCGGATTCAGATTTGATTGAACATTTTTATTATTAGGCTTTTTTTTTTTTTAAATCACTCTCATATAATTATCTTGTAATGTGATGGAAGTGTAAGCTCACAGGTGCTTTGGTATATTTCTTTTCGACGCCCGACAAATATTTACATTTGACAATAGAAATAAAGGCTGCGACGGATCAAGCGGATTCTTTCCGCATCAGTGAAAAGCAGAAACTTGGTTTCTTTTCCAGTCAGGTTCCAACAAGAAATGCAAAAAAAATAACTTTTTTTTTTAAATTCCAAGTTAGACATGTGATTGAAGAGAGCCGCTTTCCGATCGCTCCGTTCAAAAAAATTTTTTTTTTGACTGACTTACCCACAGTGCATTCAAAAGAAACGTTTTAACATGGAAATAAAAAGCATTTTCTCTGCAACGAAATGTAAAAAAAAAAGGAAAAATATCTATGCATAGTATTTACATTATTATCCGTCCACGCAAGGCTGCTTAAAGCCAATCACTCGCACAAGAAAAAAAAAAAAAAAAAGCAATCCGACTACCTGTACACGTGTCTTTGCACCTGAATACAAAGATGCAAGAGAGGTATTGATGTGTATGGCTTGACAAGAGGAAAACATTTGTGTGTTTTAAAGACATGACATCATCTCGGCTCACAACCAATCAGCTCTTGCGTACAGTCCAAAATGACACTGGAGGGGGGCCGGGGGGGTGGTTTTGGGTTTTTTTGGTCCTGTTGGGGCTCTCCCGGGTCAACCGTGAGAAAAGCAGTTTTAAGACCTTTCCAAGCGTCCCAAACCAGTGTGGCTTACAGTGACTTCCCTTCCTCTCCCCGAGTCTTTTCTTGGTTTCCGAAAACAGAAGCATATCCGAGTTAGCGAACTCCAAAGTGCTCACGTCTGTGCTTCCGGTTCTTTTGTTGCAAGATACTTAGTACGACGGGCGGGGAAAACTGAAGCCTCCCAACGCTCGAGGTCACACGGGCTTCCAAGAACTAACCAGAGTCCTTTAAGTGCACGGCACTGGGATATATCCCGTTGCCCCGCCCACTCCGCATCACGGAAGCGGCGGGGCTCAATATCGCTTTGGTCACTCTAGCCGCGGTTGCTAGGACACGATAGCCATACCGTCGGCGCCAATCAGTTGCCCGGTGGTGGGCTCGTACGTGCCGGCCAGGTAGAAAAGATCGTTGGCCGTGGCGGCGCCCGACTTGTGCTCGCGGATCACGCGATCGTATTCGGAGCGGCCGATCACCTGGCAGCGATGCGAGATGGTCTGAACGTCGTTCTCGTCCTCGTGGCTCGACTGGTACAAGGCGTTCTGGGAGAGAGTCGGTCAACAGTGTTATACGGGCGCGTTCCGTTGGGAAAGTTCGTAAACGGGCGACTCTCAAAAGGCGCTCTGCGGGGGAAATGGCACTTTGGGTCGGGAAATCATTTTTCGATTTTGTTCGCCGAGCCAAGCCAGAGATATTTTGTGACGGGAAGAACAACGCGCATCCACTTGCGGCCATTCGCAAAAGAGAACAAACCCAACTCAGCGGACCCAAATGTCACAATCGGGACATTTTGCGAGGAAATTGAGACCAGATTGTTCAGCACAATATAGACGACTTACAAAAAAATTTGGGGACTTCCCGATGAACCTAAAATGCAAGACAAGTTGTAGATGTCAACTTGGCCCTCCTGTAAACATTTCAATGCTTAGAACACAGGTGTCAAACTCCAGGCCCGAGGGCCAGATCTGGCCCACCACATCATTTTATGTGGCCCGCAAAAGCAAATCAAAGTTGTCAACTTTCATGACGCTGGCTAAAATTTCGACCCAAATTTCAAATTCTCATTTGTAACAAATAAAGTGATCGATACCGTCAGCATTTTCTTGTTCCCAAACCCCTCATTACAGTTAACTTAAACAAGAGGTGAATAAAGCGTTATTCTTGACTTCTTCATATGGTTTCAGTCATAACGGCCCGCGACAAAAATGAGTTTGACACTCCTTGCTTAGAATGTCATGAGCAAATTGAACAGATGTACATTTAAAAGTTCCGAGGAGATTCATTAAATCGGTTCACCTGTCCAAGTTATCGTCGTGCATTTTAGGTTCACCCTCAAATTTCACCCAAAAGCAAAAACTGCCTCCGAGTTGTTTGGGGGTTGCTGTCTGCGCCTTAGCTCTAAAACAGGTTGGGGGAAAAACAGCTCGAAACCATCAAGCAGAAATTTTTCAAGAGCGAGGCATATGTTGTGCCAGCAAACAGGTGACAATAAAATTTTCATGGCTATTCCAGCTCAAAGAAAAAAAAATGTTTTGAAGGGTCTCTACCTTGCCGTCACAGTGTCGCTTGCCCAGGCGAGTCTCCTCCGGGTGGTAGAACCACTTGACCCGGACCACCATGCTGGAGCTCCACGACTCCCACAAGCTCTCCACCCTGCCGACGTAAGGCAGCTGGGGCCGGCCGGGCGACAGGAACACGGCGCAATCGCCCACCCGCACCGTCTCCTTGCCGCGCACGACGGCCTTGTAGAACAGCTTGCGGGCTTTCCCCTTCAGACCCCGCCTCTAGTGGCGCAACAAAATGAGGAATAAGAATCTCGGGACAGGATATGAAAAGCTCTGATGCGGGATCGCCGAATATGTTAAAGTGTGCTTACACCAAGGAGTTGTTTTTTTTTTTTTTTTTTTAAATGTCATTCATTGTGGCTGATCATATTTATTGCCAAAACTGCTTTGGCAAAGAACACTTGAGCACCGAGTCAGGCGTTTTCAAACCTTTTGGCTCCAGGGATCCCGTTACAGGGAAGACTCCCCTCCCGCCTCCCACCAAGAAAACTCCTCATATCACCTCGATGCCAATCGCAAAACAAACGTAAGCTTCTCGGGTGTTTCTCGTCTTACCTGTGTGGGACTACCGGACCATTTCCACAGCTGGCGTCCAGACAGTAGCGGAGCGATGCCGGCTTGAGGTTCCGGCGAGGACATCCTCTGCCTTTTAGCCGCCGCCGGGTCCTTGGAAGAAGGTTTGGGGCCGCTCGGACCTTGGTGGTGGCTATTCGGAACCCCTTCTTTTCTCTTCACTTGGGTCTTGGCTGAACTACTGTTATTGGCCACACTTCCTTTGGAAATGTACTCTGTCCTCTCCTCTGTCCTGTCCTCCGTCCTGCCCTTTGGTCCGGAGTGGGCCACGCCAGCCTTGGCCGCATAGGGATGAACCGTGACCGCGGCCGAAGGGTTGGAGTCGTTGACCTCCGACCTCAGGTTCTGTCTGTGTTTGTGTTTGTCCTGCTGGAGCAGCGCGCGACGCAGGAGGACGGATGAAGACTCCTCGTCGGACGAGTAGGAGGAATCGTTGTCCGAGGAGCAGAGGGACGAGGACGAGACGGAGCCCGCCGTC